TAAATTAAAGAAATTACATAAAAAATGAGAACTTTTAAATAGTTGATTTGATATTAACATTTATATATTTTTTTTCAAATTTTAATGATATCTTCAAATTTTTATGTTATTCAAAAAATAAAATTATTATTGTTTTCTTAAAAACACATAAAATCGTATTATAACATCGACATATACAAATAAAAAAATAGAACATTAAAATCGAGATGTGTCTCGCTGCATTGCGCGAGTACTCTTATAGTATTATCATAATTATTGTGTGTTACCCGTGATATAAATTTTTGGGTTCTCTTCTGATTGTTGAAATCATATGCCGAATCAAACGAATTCATCATATATCTTTTCGAAAATAGGCTCTAAGGGGTTGTTTGTTTACATCTTAATAGTTCCATTAAGAAGCAACCTCTGAATTGTTAAGAGGTAAATCTTGTTTGGCAAAAAAAAAGTCTGTCTCTTAATGGTTCTAAACCCTCTGAATGATTTTGTATTATGGGTCTCTCTTGACCATTCAGCACCCTAATTCATTGTAAATGATTATCAAGCAATTATATTTCATTTTGCACTATATAGTGATAGTCTCTTAATCATTCTGACCACTTAATCATTTTGTACTAAATCATTCAGCAACTGCCAAACAACCTATAACACGTAAATGTAAGTAAATCTTTTCTCCGTCTCAAAATAGGATGATAGGTTGTTTATGAAAATCCTTGACTTGCAAAAGGATTTGAAAAACAAAGCTAAAGTTGTAATTTTACAAAAAAAGATAATGATTAATTAAGTATTATAACTTATCCACATTCTCCCCTCTTAACCCCTCCTTCAATTGTAGAGCAAACGCAATATGGATATCAAAGTTTGTATGATCCACCTGCATGTAACAATTATACTATAAACACAGTCAATCTGAATTTAGGGGCCGTTTAACAAACATTTATTCGGGTAAGCGCTTACCAAATCACATTACTTCACCGGATTAATATGGTAAGTATAAAAAATAATAATGGTAGAATGATTTAAAATGCCCTTTATGTAGTCCTTGATCATTACATGACATCCAGTTATTTTTATGTATTGATTAAATGTAACATTCATAAGTTTATGCTCTTTGTTTTTTAAAGTGTAATAGTATAAGTTTTTTAAAAGGAAAGTCAGTGATTATCTTGTTAAAACATTCCAAGGGGCTGTTTACCAAATACTTATCCGGTAGTGCTTACCAATAAAATCTAACATTATTATTTAATTACCGAGTAAAATTTTAGTCCACCAAAACGACATTGCATGCAACAATATACCCAGTAAAATGAACAAAAGACAAAAAAATAAAATAAAATTGGTAGAATGAATTAAAATGCCATTTATTTAACGGAATTTAGAGACAAGGACCAAATTAAGACGTTTCTGCATACCATGTTATAATTTCAAAAATTGCACGACTAAAAATGTTATCATCGACAAACCACATGAATCAAACTTATAGTTTACTCTAAATTTTAGAGCGAATTGTGAATTTGGTTAGAGAAAATTGCACCAAAATAGAAACAACTTTCACCTGATTCCTATTTCGGGGAACCAACTTTCAAAATCGTTATTTTGGGGAACCAACTTGCACCTGATTCCTATTTTGGGGAACCAACTTGTAAAATAATTATAGAAAAACAACTGAAATTCGTTTTTTTTTCAAAAATTAATGCAATAAAATATATTTTCATTTCAAATATTGTTTTTTATAAAATTTAGATATCAAATTGAATATTTAAAAAAAATTCAAATTACCACAATAAAAATTGTTTTTTACTAATGCAAAAAAAAANTGACTGCTTCCTTGATATCTTTAATGATTTGGGGATCGGACATGCGAGATACGATGTGTCTGTTACGGATGTCAGCGGCGAAGTTCTCCAGAACCATGACGGCGCAGGCACCGGCTTCTTCTGCGATGCGAGCTTGATCAGGCGTGACGACGTCGATGATGACGCCACCACGGAACAACTTGGTACTACCATCCTTGCCGGAGAAGATTACTTGATCGACTCCGGTGAGTGGTCTGGCGACGCCGTAAACCGTCACTTCGCCGCCTTCGTCTTCGGCCATTTTTGATCTTTCTGTGAAGGTAAAGATCTCTGTAAAAGGTAGTGAATGAGATTTAGAACGAAAAGGATTGAATGCAAGAAATCGAAAGAGAAATTTTTTGTAATTCCGTTGGAAAATTGATATTTTCTGGGAACGGCAAAGAGGGATTCCCGTCTACTTATAGCCGGGATTCGGGTGACTCTCGCCGGAGGTCGGTGATCAATAAAATCCAATTAGACCCTTTGATTATAATCTAATTACATGTTACCCCTTATACTATATTATAAAGTATTTGTTAAAACCTTTTAAAAATTGTTTTTTATGCATTAAATCTTATTTATTGATACATATTATTTGAAATTCAAGATTACACGTAAATTATGCATAAATATAACTTATTAATGCTTCATGTTTGAATATAAAAAATCTAAAATAATCAAATAGAAGATAAATATCTCATTTTAAATATAAAAAATCTAAAATATAATTAGGATAATTATTAAGTTCTAACATATACTTAATTCTTATCTTTATAAAAAATTATATTATTAAACCAAAAATAAAAAGTTGCATTATAGAAATACACAGAAAATGAAAAAATTTAAATAGTTAGTTTGATACTTTTTTGAATATTTTAATATCTTCATATTTATATTTTGTTCAAAAATAAAAACATTATCAATTTCTCAAAAACACATAAAATTGTATTAATAACATCGATTGAGACAAAAAAAATAAAATAAAAATAAAATCTTGATAATTCTTAATGCATGTGCGAGTACCATTCTAGTTTAAATAAAATGATTTAATATGTTATAATATTTTAAATTCTGAACAATTTTTTATACGATTTGTTTTTCAACTAATTTTTTTAACATTATTTTTTATTTAAAAATGAGTTGTTACAACAATTTATTGTTTGCAATCAAATTATAGGTGACGACATCAAATATATGCATAAGAGAATATTTGATATGGCAATTGTAACCGCTATAAACTAACTATAACCACCTCAACTAATTAACTTGACACGTGCATGGCACGATTCTCTTCCACAATATACATATATTATGTATTAAACAAAGAAAAAATTGCATGAAAATGGAACCAATTTTCACCTGATTTTTATTTTGGGAAACTAAATTTTAAAATCGTCATTTTGGGAAACCAACTTGTACCTGATTCTTATTTTGGAGAACCAACTTTCAATATCGTCATTTTGAGGAAACAACTTGCACCTGATTTCTATATTAGGGAACCAACTTGCAAAATAATTATAGAAAAATAACTAAAATTCGTTTTTTTCTAGAAATTAATGCAATAAAATCTATTTTTCATTTCAAATCTCGTTTTTTTAAAATTTAGATATCAAATTGAAGATTTTTTTCTAAAAAAAATCCAAATTAGCACAATAAAAATTATTTTTTACTAATGC